TTTTTTTTTTAAATAATACAATTTTATTTGGTAATTCAGATCATATTTGCACTATTGAGCTTTTCCTCTTTCAATTTTTTGTCACACCACTCCATTGGATAACTTACCACATCATTTGTGTGATTGCACGTCCTCTGAGTCCATTAATATCATGGTAGAAGGGCTTCTTAATCGTTGCCTTAGTCAGTACAAGAGTGAGAAAATCTGCCAGAATATGTATAGACAGCAATAGGTACAACCTTAACTGTAGCAGGTATAAGGTGCAGGGCAATAGTGGGCTCTGGTTTAGAAGGAGAGGAAGTGGCAGTGCATTCTTACGTGTAGTGATGGGCCAAATAGGCCAGAGTTCGGTTTGAATTCAAACTTTAGAACATCCAAAAAGTTCTAATTCAAACTCGAACTCAAAGCAAGTCTATGGGGGTAGAACTATCAAAAACAATTCTCCCCTTTAAGAGGGATTATATGCAAGTTATTGGTCATAAAAGGTGTACGGGGATCCAGGTACTGCCCTTGGGGACAGGAATCAATGAAAAAAAAACTTTAAAAAAAAACTTTTAAATGAGCAGTGATTTTAATATCACTTAAAGGGTAACAATAAAAATGAAAAATCCCTTTAAATATCGTGCCTGGGGGGTCCCCTTAACCTGCCTGTAAAGTGGCGGATCTGTACAATGTAGAGAACCTGCTGCAACAAAACTGACATTTCTAAATTAATTTTTTTTTTTTTTTAAAGTGTGCAGTTGCCCTTCCCAAACACTACAAGACTTTTTAGGTCTGGTAGGAATGGTAGGCGGGACCCCATTTTAAAAAAAAAAGCATGGGGGTTCCCCCTAAAAGTCATACCGGACCCTTATGGTCTGGTAGAAATATTTAGGAGGGACACCATGTAAAAAAAAAAAAGTGCGTACGGTTCCCCACTTAAAGTCATACTAGGCCCTTAAGAATTTTAAGGAGGAACCCCACCCCCAAAAATGAGGGGAAAGAATGTGGGGTCCCCCTTTAAAATTCCATACCAGACCCTTGATCCGAGCATAGGCCTGGCAGGGCCGGAAAGGGGGGGGGGGAACGAGCAAGCCCCCCCCCCCATACCAGGCCACATGCCCTCTGCACTGGAAGGGTGCTTTTAAAGGGTAACCCCTGGAAAAGCACCTTGTCCCCGTGCAAATGGGGACAAAGGCCTCTTCCCCACAAGCCCTGGGGCATTGGTTGTGGGGGTGCGGGCAGGGAACTTATTACTTGGAATAAGTTTTGGAATACTAGGGGGTATTCCAAAAGAATTCCAACTGCCATTCACTAAAGGGTTACAAAAATTGAAATAAAAAAACAGACTTTTGGAGAAAATCCTTTAATTGAAGAAAAAAAAAAAGTCCTTTATAAAAATGGATCCACCGACGTAATCCAGGGTCAATCATGACGTCCAGCGTTGTCCACGACGAGTACGACAAAATAAACAAGAAAACATAAATCAAAAATTTTTTTTTTTTTTAAACGACGACCACCGTCCGCTCGCGACGAACACCCACCACATAATGGCATTTGACCTTTCTTTGCCCAATCATGGCTCTTACAGAGTACTGAGCCCTGATTTGGCAAAGTCTTGCACCTGACCTATAGTCAGGTGCAAGCCTTTAGCCAATTAGGGCTTCACAAGGCGCATTGCCTTGTGGGGTGTTCAGCGCTCGAACAGACCACTGAATGCCCTTATAGTACGTGCGTTCAGCGAACACACGAACTAGCGAGGTTCAACTCGAACACACAAACTCACGTTCAACTCGAACATCCAGCCCATCCCTACTTACGTGTAGTGAAAACAGGGTGCAGTGGAGTTGAGGATGAGGCAAGAGAGTAGCAGTCACACCCTGATTCTGTAGCAATGTGGTAGAGCTGTTCCACATGTGGTATTGACAAGTGAAATGTTGTGTTTTTAGATACACCTTATTAAAGAATGCTGACACTATGGTGAAAGATGCAAAAATAAGCACTGCATTAATGTTAAACTTTATTATTATTAATTGAACTGTATATTGTCCTGTGTTTGGTGGCTGCTATAGAGTTTTATGGATTATCACTGACTTTTACTTTTTGTTTCAAAGCAAAAAATAACTTGATAACTAAAAAAAAATTAAATCTGTTTTCTGGATAAGTCTCAGTACCACTGGTGAGATTTCCCTTCACTTCCTGTCCCAAAGTCTCAACAGGAAATCTCCAAAGTGAGTGCAAATACCCAGGGCCGGATTCCCGGCAAGGCCAGGGGCGGTACACTCAACGCCCGGAACATGGAGTTCCGGGTGCCGGGCGGTAATTTGTGTTCTACATTTAGCTCTGCTTTGCATAAGCAGAGCTAAATGTAGAATAGCAGAACTCACCTGTTTCTTTACAAGTAATCTCGTCAATGTCGCCAAGATCACTTGTAATTAGACTGCCGGTCCGTCCTCCCCCGCTGCCCCCCTCCTTCCCCTCCCTCCCCTACACTTACCTCTCTCCATGCTGTGTCCTCCCGGCTTGGTCCTCGCAGGGGTAGTTGTAATGCTACCGCGCTCGTGCCGAGGAGAGGTGACTGAGCGATCAGCAGTATGTTAATCGCTCAGTTCCCGATCAATAGAGTCGACGCATGATAGCTTCAGTGTCCCACGCTGTCTCTAACTATGAGTGCATGTCACTCTACTCATAGTTCTCCTTTAAGTGCTTGTTTTCATCTATCTGCGAACCTTGGAGTCGGCTGGCTGTTAGAGCGCCTGTGCCAGCCTGTCTTTTCTTCCACCCTGCATGCTCACGTCCAATGCAGAGTGTATTGGATTTGATGACTCGTGGGACCTCAGACCGCTGGAGCAGAGGGCAAGAGAGGCTGGAAGGACTGGTCTAATAGCGAGCCGACTCCTAGGATCAGGCGAGTATAACATTTTGATTTTTAAACTTAGTAAAAAATGTATTGTTGTTCGCCAGCACTTTAGACACACAGTGCCCTCGGCTGCAACGGCTCAGCCTGGCCAGCTGAGTCCTTGCAAGAGACAGCTGTCCTTCCATTGCAGCCCACGTTTTCATGGGCAGTTAATCGACAAGACCACTGGACTCTTCAGGTCTGTATTCACCCAGGGACCTCACTGGATTTCCTCCCGCAGATGACTTCTCAAATGTGAGATCTCCTGTTTGTTTTAGTACAGTAGTAGCGCTCTCAATAAATTTTTTACTCAGTTTTACCACAGGGCTCCTTCCTCTGTTTTTGCATAGAGCTTGCACACTGTAATCCCTGCCCTTATACCACATCTACCACAAGTTTGTACCCCTTGGTAGTGCGCTTGTTCTTTTCCTTTTTATCCTGATTTTTAAACTTAGATGAAAACAAGCACTTAACCCTGGTGGTGTGGGAGTAGCAAGGGTTAAGAAAAATGTTTCCCGGAGTTCCTTATCACAGCACATCAAATGTACACAGCACATAGGGGATGATTTATAAATCATCCGCCCCAATATATGCTGGCCAAACACTGTTCACATGTCATTCTCGCCTCTAGATGGCGCTAAGAATCAAAGGAAAATCTTAGGCTCCTCGGCTACCTCAAGTGGCGAGAATGCCTAGCAAATGGCATTCGGCCAAAGTATGCTGGGGCAGATGATTGATTAATCATTCCCACAGTGTAAATGGGCTCTTAAATTTGTTTTATTTATAACACAGATCACACTGCAGCAGCAGCAGCATACTCTCCTGATCCTAGCACAGTTCAGCTCTGGTGCCATGAGAAGTTTGTGTCTTCTGCTATATGTTAGTAGGGGGTATTCCAAAAGAATTCCAACTGCAAACTTATGGGGAAAAAAAAATAAAACTTAACAAATGGAGAAAAATGTTAAAATGAGACATTAATATTCCAAAAAGAAAAAAAATGCAATAACACATAAAATGGCCCAAAACACCAATTTCTGCATTTGGTCGAAATATAACAACCAGGACAAAAGTGTATCTGTTAAGGTGCCCATACAACCTTGCGAAAATCGTACGATCGACCGAAGTTTTTTAACCTAATGGAAAGTCAAAAGTCAATCGACTGTACAGTATTTGCGGTTGTACACTGCCCATCAACATCGGCAGATTTTCGTATGCAATCGCGTTTTCGTCCGATATGATGGGCAGTATACAACCGCAAATACTGTACAATCGATCGACTTTTGACTTTCCAGCAGGTTAGAAAACTTCGGTCGATCGTGCCATTTTCGCAAGGTTGGTGGCGTTTCCGTATGTCAAAATTCGTACAATCTACACTGCACATGCGCAAACGAAAATACGTGCGGTCGATTACCGCAATTCATCCAGGTGTTTTCTTCTAAATACCGCTGATCCAACCTTGCAATAATCGGGGCAGGATGGGGCCGCAGTATGAAAATCGTACGACGGTTCGATCATCGGTCGCAAAGTGTCGTCCGATGATCGCAAGGTGTATGGGCATCTTTAGTCAGGCGTCTTCCGAAAGAATTCCAACTGCAAACTTACGGGGATAAAAAAAAAACACACACACAAATGGAGAAAAATTTTAAAATGAGACATTGATCTGGAAGTATGAAAAAACAAAAAACAAACAAGAACACATAAAATGGGCTAAAACAGCAATGTCTGCGTTTGGTTTAATAATACAGCTAGGACAAAAGTGTGTGTGCTACTCGTAGCAATGAAATGAAACAAGAAACTAGAACAGGGGCTCCAATTTTATTGCAGCTTTTGTGAATCTCCAAACTTTCCCCAAAAACATTGAACAATCTAGAATACTAAATGTAAATGCCAGGAAGCAAAGTTAATCTTTACAAGTTTACCTTTAGTAAAACAAACTTAAACTTTTCTTCCTGGTTTACTGCCGAGCTTATCACATGTAGCAAAGCAAATCAAATGACCATTGCAGACGAAGTCGAGCCTACACCTTTTAATTACAAGGCTGGAGGTGGAAGCGAGCCAGGCCAGGTACAGGTGCAGCCTGACACCCAGGGAGCTGGAAGCCCTGACTGCTTGTCTAGGAGTATTCATGAGCTGAGAATTAGTCATGTGACAAAACAGAAACTTGAGACTTGACTATGTGATCAGGCGAGTTTTACTTCTCATGTGAGACGAGTATGTGGGTTCTACACGCCACACAGAGGAAAGCACACAGCCAAACCGTGTATGGGATTTCCACAAGGAGCTTAAGAGCTGCGTTCGGGGCAGGAGAGGCTCAGTGACAGAGCCGCACATGGTCCTTATTGGGATTGCCAGGCACAATGGACAAATTCACTAAGATCACGGCTCCAGCTGGTGAGAAGTTCAGGTGAGGTTTGCCTTTGGCGTTCAGATTACTCCTTGTGGCAGTGAAAGGCTCAGCTACGAGTGAAATCGCTTTGTACCATGAGAGGAAACTGCCGAACGATCTCATTTTAAATCACTGGAAGAGTTTAAGGTGAAGGAATTGTCAGCAAGGAGAAACCGTCCGGAGATCAGATATCAGAACTTAGGATATAAGAGAAAGGTGGGGACATGCTTGAATCCTTTAAGCACATTTAAACCCAAATTGGGCAGTCAAGTTGGGCTTAAATATGTTGGGCAAGTTACCAGTCCTCTCATTGCTTGGCCACTCCACCATTTTTTTTTAAAGTTTTCTAGTATGGCATGCTTCGTATACATGCCTTCAGTCTGGTCATGTGACTTAACATGGTCCTCTTTATCTTCTGGTCTTCTCCGGTCATAGGGGGTCTTGAGAATATTAGAGAGCGTCGCTGGTGGAGTGACGCAAATTCCGCTATCTACGGCTTTCTCTGTGAGCCCAGGAAACATGAAAAATGGGTTACCAGCGCACCCTCATTCCTTCATCAATGTTGGCTGTTCAGAGACCACGCAGGGTCCCTTCGTCAGGTAAAATGATTTGCTTTGAATGATGAAGGGACCCTGCTTGGTCCCGAAACATCGCTTAATTTCTGTGATTTGATGAACACCCAATGTCGATCAAGGAATGACGGTGCGCTGTTCACTCATTTTTCAGGTGTAGCTACTGCAACGCCATCCGCCTATTACTACAGCACCCCCAAAAGAACTATAAAGGGATATACCGGTCAGGTATGCAGCTTGATAGCTGCATACAGAATGACACCCTGGGCTCACAGGAAGTAGGTTGAATGACACTAGGAGTCTTTCAAACCAAAAGAGGGACACGGTTACACAATGAAGAGTCTACAGGGGACAGCTCTAGGGAGGGGGTAACTATTGCAGCCAGGGCTGTTTTTTTTCCATATTAACAACACTTGGTCAAGATGGAGTTGGGCTTTAGGGTGCAAATAGTCTGTGGATGACCAGTATTTTCATCAGGGCCCAGGGCATGGTCGTAAAATAACTGCGAACGTTCAATAGTGAAAAGTATCATTTGACTGAAAGAGTAGTGGATGCTTGGAACAGACGTCCAGTAGAGGTAATGAGTCAATAAATGGTACGTAAGTATAAACATACTTGGGATAGACATATGTTTCTATGTAACAGGCTTTGTTCTTTCTACTAGTTGATTGAAATCTTGTGTATCTTTAAAGGACATATCTTTTCTTACATTCTTTTATGGTTAGAAGGGTCAGTCAGCACATAATGTGTTGTTTTTAGTATATAAATCGCATCCTAGCAATTCAGGGACCCAAATGAGTTGTTTGCAACTGAGCTCCTATGTTCATGCACCTGTCATGGCCATTAGCAGGAATACTAGCCTAGCTGTCAGATGTGTGTATGTGTGTGTGTGTTATGTATATATTGTACTATGCTGTGTATAGAGATCTGGGAGATCATAGTGCTATGTCAGGGGTATAGTTGGGGAGTTTCAAGTCACTGGCATCTTCCTGAAGTTAATATTGGTGGACAGAATATAGGTGCCCATACACCTTACAATGTATCTGCAGATTTTCTGTGGTCAGATGGAAAAGGTGCAGCAGATTCCTCCATCTACACTTAACTGTGTGGATGGAGTAATCTCCACCTGGGCCAATCTGTTGCACTTTTTCCATCTGACCACAGAAAATCTGCAGATAAATTGTAAGGTGTATGGGCACCTTTAGTGTAACTCCAGCCAAAATATTTTTTTTTTGCCCCGCTGAGGACATTTCCCCTTACTTCCTGTCACAATGACAATGTTGTCACCTGGACAAAATAAAAATAAAAAAATCTGCAGCGGGGACACAAACAGCAATAAATAACTGATGAAGGTTTTAGCTTTCTGTCTGACCTTCTTAAAAGTTTCTTAATTGCTGTTCTTGTCCCTCTTACAGACCTTTCCTCACTTCTTATTACATCACCAGGAGAGGAAGTGGGGGAAATCTGCACAAGGGGGCCTCTGAGAGCATTAAAAACCGACAGAGGATCTTACCCTACCTCCCTTTACCTGAAACTCAGAAAAAAAAACGTTTTTGCAGGAGGCACGATATAGGGATGAGTGTCAGCTGTCACCCCATTGTCCATTCTGGAGCCTTTAAGGGAACCTGTCACCCTAAAAATAAGATCGTTGACATAAAGTTACATGAAATAACCTGCGTGTGAAGAATATCTCTGTTCTGTTAATGAGGATAACAAAGGTTGCAAGTTATAGTAAATTGTATGCTGGTCAGACATTGTAGCAGAAATGCTGACAGCCATGATCATCAAATGGCAGGCAAACAGTTATATACACATTTGAAATACACATGCCATACCTTTTACCTGCCATAGAACTGTCTGTGATCCACATACCCCTGCCAAGCAGAAAGGTCAGATCCTGAGCTCTGCAGACCACACTATTGTTAATCAGTACAGCCTGCTACAGGTCCTATTCCAGGCTGTAATTGGACAATGAAGGAGCAGTGGAACACTGATGAGGGCAGCACTGATGAGAACCAGCCCTTCCTCTGAAGTTCAAGATAGACACATTGTATGAATACACACACAGACACATACAGGGGCGTCCCAAGGCCGGGCGTCATCCGTAGCGGTTACCGGGTGACACCCGCCGCGACGCCACCACACATGCGCGTGACATCAGCACGCGAGTGCACGATGATCTTATTGATACCTGCTGGCGGCCATCTTGGTGATGGACACCGGCAGAGAGGGGAGGGGACAGTCACCCGGCAGGATGAGGTATGGGTCCGCTCCTCTCTCTCGAAACTGTCGGGCGATCGGTCCATGACCTAGTGCCCGACTTTTAAGAGGGGGTGACACCAAAATGACTGCCAGTCATTTTGGTGTCATCCCTCCAATGGTGTCACCCTGCACACCCCTTGTGACGCCATTGTAGATTATTTTTATACAAACACACACATATATAGGACACGCCAAAGTATCAAGCCCATTCATACCAGCGGGCATGCATGAATCTCTTTATAACGCACCCTTACTGGTGTGCGTTGTGTAGGGGCATATGATGCCTTTTTTCAGCGCATTGCACTGCTTCCCCCGTTTTTTCTTACGTGATTGAAATGCCACAAAATGACACATTTCATTCAACTCTATTCACCGCAGAATGTATTGATGCGCTGTAGTGCGTTGTAACGTGCTTCATAGAAGTTCAATCTGTCCTGTTTTTTTTCATCAGCACACGCCAACACAGCACATTGGTGTGTTATGAAACGATAGGACATTATGCAAATTGCCTTGTCTATGCACTGGGACCTCGTTGGGCAATACCAGGGTTGGTGTGAACTAGCCGGCACACAAAAGCTTCCTCTCTTTCACATCTCTATTTCTGCAGGCAGGCTTTTTATAATATTATAATACGCCTAGGTCTGACCGTATGATGCATTAGGGGATAAGTCACTCAACCTTTCCTATGAGATAACTTATCTTCTTCAGGGTTCATTATGCACTTATACAGATGACCCTGAGAGATAAAACTGTGAAAATATACATGCAAAAAGAGTTCTGTGTATCACAGGACATTGCAACACACAGGAAGTGTCATTTGGTACATAGGCAACCATCAGACATGGAGTTCCATAGGTGGTGTATAGTGTAGTATCACTTAAAGTGATAAAGTCAAAAGCTATTTTGAATGCAAACGAAATGACTTAAAATGGATGCTGTTCCTTGATGTAGCCTCCTACAGAATCAGCTGCTCCCCTGAGCACTGACCCTGTTTTAGAGTCTCTCCTTTTCCTTGCAGGGTTCTATGGAGCCACCTTTGTGTGTGCTAGTAAGCTGTGTGCGTCTCCACAAGCACAGCAAGCTCCTACCCTGCTCCCTTCTCCTTCTACCTTCCTTCTCCAAGCTAGTAGATGGTCAGCTGCACTGCCTCTTGTGATCTTGTACTGGACAGGGTGTTGAGGGAAGCAGAGCTGGGAGAGTTGGAGCTGTATAGAAACATGATGACTGCAAGGGCATAGGCAAACATGTAAAGAAATACTTTGCTGGACAATGTATATTTGTTTGATCTGGATTCATTATTAAAAAAATGTTTGAGAGTTTATTACTACTTGTAGCTGCCTACACACATTAAGATTTTTATTTTTCAGCCTTGTGGGCGAAACAAGAGCATTCTTTCACTTCCCCCCCATCCATGCTAACAAAAGTGGATGAAGGAATAGCTATTGCATTCTGAGGCTGGGGCTGTCCGAATACCTGAAGGCTGACAACGTTGGTAGGCATTTCAAAGCAGCAAATGCACTGTGTTGTCAGCCGGAAGGTGAGGGACTTTTTCTGTACGTGCAGTGTGAAGGGATAGGATTTGGGGGGGGGTGCTTGTTTTGCAGAGATTTACTAAATAAGTTTTGAGTCTCTTCTTATTTTCCCAGATATAGACTTTACTAGGTGAAGTTGTTACTTACATGTTTTGTGTGGTTATTGACAGGTTCATGGACCTCTGCTCCTTCACACACTCATGCGAATGGTTTAGGCAGGGGCTGACTGGCAACTTTTAGCCCAGGGGGCAAGTACAACCCAGAGGCCCATGGTGCGCCAACTTGGCCCCCCTCCCGCTCTGCCTCTTCCCTGCCTTCTCCCCGCCCCTGTCTGCCACTTTTGCCATCCATGTAACAGTAGTGTGAATGTATTTATCGGTTTAGGAAATGTAAAGCACACGTAGTGGAGGGATGCCACGTCAGGGCTGTGCGGGTGCATGACTTCTGCGACCCCGGTAGTTCTGCCACTAACTCAGAAATACATTGTACAGCATTGCAGAATGGCATTGGCTATAGAGAACTACAATTCCAAGCAATACATTACACAACATTGCAGAATACCATCGGCTATAGCGGACTATAAATCCCAGCAATAATGACTACCAAAAGCTATAGAGAACTACAAATCCCAGCAATCCATCACACAGCGCAA